TGAACGCGAGCGCACGGTGAACGGTGAACGCAAAACTGTGAACGGAGAGCGAACGGTGAACGAACGGTGAACGCACGCTGAACGAACGGTGAGCGAACGGAAAAATGGGAAAGTAGAACGTTTCAGGGACTGTACATAGCCAATTATCTCTTCATTTAAATTCTTGAGTCAAAAAGTGTAATCCTTTTAAGATACTGGTATTGTATGTTGGCCTCATAGGAAATCAGTTGTTAATATAGACTGGTACTTGAGGTATTTGGAAGGAAGGTGTTTGACGAAATTTTTAAGCCTCGGTGAACTATCAATATTAACTCATTTTTGAGTATACTAAAATGTTTGAAATAAGTAGTGCAGATTTCATATTCATTACGAAAACTACTTGGTATGCAAGAAGAATATCAAATACCGGGTAGTTTCTAAGGTGGAGATAAGATTTAATTTCTCACATGGAAAAATAGGATTCCTTTTTTTTATATCTGCTCTTGTAGAAATACTACATGTGTATATCCTGCATGATGCCCAATTGCTTACTTGTTCCAATTGACAGATTATGTGAATGAACTGTTTGAAGACCTTATCTTCAGTAGAGAAATCCACGATTCTTATGGAGAGGCACGAGCAGCCATTGCTATAAATGAGAAAGGAAGACCAATACCAAGTGCTCAAATGGAAGCAAGGGCTAGAAAAGAAGACATTGTGCTGCTCACAGATCAAGATTTTATTGGATAAAATATTTCCAAATTCTATCGTTATTTTGGTTATTTAAAACCACAGTAGGTTTGGGAAGGAAAGGTCGGTCTGATTTTGCTGACAACACAAGATGGTAGAATACGTCTATTCTTCTTCCGAAGTCTACGATAAATCCACCAAACAAATCTTCTGTAGGCAAGATGTCAGTAAAGCCTGGAATATTGCAGAGGATATGTTCAACATAATTCTATATGTGCACTTATTTATCCATTTATTACATGTATTTTGGACTTTAGGTTTTGACAGTGAAAAAGGGGGGGGGGGGAGGTGACCATATCACTCAGAAAAAAAGGAAAATGATATCTGAACAGGGAAGACAAAAAATGTGAGGGAAATTGAGTGGTCTGTACATGAGACTGAGTTGACCTCTTTTTTTTTTTTTCATTGCCTTTCCTGTTCAGTCATTATTCTGTGAATTGTAAATGGTATAGAATAAAATTCATTTATGGATATTTCAACAATGCTGAAATTCCTTTGGGTAGGAACACTCCCCCCCCCCCCCCCCCCTTGACCTGCCTATAAAACTTACTCATGGATTGGCTCTCTCTCATTTAGTCTGTCAGTATTCTGTATGTGTTCATAGTAAGAAGTCTCCAACACATAATGATTTAAACATTTTACAATGAAACCTTTATGTTCTGTAATGCATTGGAGAGATTCCTCGTCGACCTTTCTATCTACAATGTTGGTGTTTCGGCAGCATTTGTTTTCCCTGTTGGTTGGCATCTCCACACAGTGTCCACAATTACACCCGAACAGAGGGAATGGTATATGTCATTTGAGTTCTGGATAAAAACTGGTAAACATCGTATCATAGAACGTTCATGTAAGTGACATGCCCGTAGCTGGGGGTGGGTGAGGGTTGAAAAGCAAAAAAAAAAAAAAAAAAAAAAAAAAAAAAAAAAAAAAAAACGGAGACGTAACTTTAAAATTCAAGGAAAAATATTTACTTACAATTGTACATATTTTGAACAAAGAGAAAAACCTCGATTTTAGACTGATTAGTGCCATGATCTCGCACATTTTACGCAGTTTGTGGCTATACCTAATACCAAAGGGGACAAGGTTGTCTGTAAAAAGCACAATTAGCCTACATACCAACTCTCGACAGATTCTCTAGTGACCTCTTCAGATCTTGTCGGAGATTCCTTTCCCGATTCTGAATCCGATTCACTTTCCGGCAAACTATTAGTGAAATGATTTGTAGCCAAAGGTTCAAACATATATGGCTGTATATGCAGTGTCAAATCAACTTCGGGTATTTCACCATCACTATCATTATCTTCCGTGAAATGAGCCATGATTGTACTCGGACTTGGAGCGTTCTAATATGGTGGGCCTATTGTTTTGATATCGGTGTCTCTAATGACGTCATGAACAGGGGAGGTAACATCGTCGGCGTTAATGGAAATTGTCAGTTTTCAAACAGGTAAATCAAGCATGTAGGTTTCATTAAAAAATCGGTAACTTTAAAATATTCATTTCCTACATGGCATTGTCAATATAGCAACATTAAGAGCATTTTTATTTTCATGATACTTGACCTTTAAAGAAAAGAGTTATTTATAAACTCTTAATCGAATTACGAGTCAAAATATCAAATGAAAATTACCTTTGTTATCATGATTAGAAATGTAAAATTTATAATCATTTTTAAATATTTTTATTGCATGACATTTCAACAGAGAATGGACACTTTATTTTTAGCATATATTTTTATATTTATATATACGTCTAAATCGAGTTTGAATACTGAACCAATTATTATATCCGCACCGTAAATCGAATATAATAATAACATCTATAATATTATCATTACTACCAAAGCTTGATATATTATCATGAAAAATATTAGAATTATTTCAAATACTAAAGGTATATAAATATATTATCAAGCTAAAAGTTTTAATAGTAATACAGATTCTACGATGTGGGGAAAATATCAAAGGATCAAGAGTTGATGTTAAGGTCGCCGCGAGTGTCAAAGAAGGTGTACAGGGTATACACAAGAACTAGTAACTAAATGTCAATCAAATTCTAGCACCCAACCTTACTTCGAATTCCCTTTATTGACAGGGGTGCGTAGACCAGATATTTTTAAAGGCCCCGGCGGTGCTTAAAATTTCTGCCTTTAAGGAATTTGGACATTTAGAATAGATGTAAACTAAAACTCAGTAATTTAAGTTTTTTATAATTTATGTTCCAAGGTTGATTTTAAATCGGACGATATAGAAAAAAAAAATCAAGCGATTTCTGCTCTGTCTTGTTTTTCATTTGTTAATAAAAGTCAAACTCTTAAATGCATGTTTTCAATTGATATTGATTATCTCATGCTTTTTAAAGTTTATATTTTTTTCTTTCTTTAATTTGGTAATTCTAATCCGGATGTTCGTTTGATTAAAAAAAAAAATGTGTCTTAGATCTTTGAATGCTCTTGTGTTCCAGCTCGAAGGGCGGAGTTCATAGAAAAGTGTGAGTTATGTACAGATAACCTTCACTTTTAGCAAAAGAAATCTCACCTACATTGTAACTATGGTACAATACTTTAAACTCTGTGTCCTAACAAAGAATAGATTCAAACCTCATGGCCTACTTATTTAAGTTATAAAATATGCGACAGTCGATATTCAATTTTGACAATTCAAATATTGTCGAAAGTGAGTTAGATTTATTTTTATTTCTGTTATCGAAGAACGATTTTTATGGAATTTTTTGAAGAGGAATTTCATATCTGAATTTATATATAATTTATGAGGAATTTTAGAAAAAGTTTAAAAAGGAAATCATGGCTCCTCTGAAATTTGATTGGTATTGTTTTCATTAACGTTGTGGGAATGATCAATAATGAAAAATATATCCAAGTTATTCCCTAGTCGAAATAGGCTTCGCAGGTGTGTTAAGGAAACACTCAGATATTCTGACTTGACTAAATCAGTGATACAATACGACTTCATAGTAGACAAGATGACGTCAATTTTAGAACACAAGTTTCCTAAATATTGGTATTTAGAGATGTAATTTACCTCCTGAAAATGAATAGCATCATGTAAATATTAGCAAAAATAAAATGCTTTTATTTTGTTATGCTGTATCTGTCACTTGGACTAAAATCGACGACCGATGACGTCATAACTGTTCAACAAATAACTTGAGAATAGATCATGTTGTGTAACGAGAATTTGGCTAAGACGGCATGTAAAAGTTACGTAAAAGGGGGTTTAGAAACAAATACCATGAATATTTTGTGTGATTTATATGGAGTTAAAGTTTGTTAAACACGTATGCTAATTTATTTTTATCGATTATATCTTCCATTGAAAACAATCAGCAAATTAACGTATCCCGGTCGGCCTTTCCTCTGTCATTCGTGACAACAATAATGCAAAAGAACAACACTAAGCTTGATACTTCAAAACATAAGATTTCTAAAGATCGAAAGCTTGCCTTCTTTGATTCTTGGAAAGTACTGCTAGAATCGCGAGGTAAACATGGTTTAAAGAAATATCTCGGGTTATATGTATATATTTCAAAACATCGGGTATGTGGAATAATTATTTTTCCGACCACACCGTGGGATTCTAGCAGCACATTTTAGGCGTAATTGATGTTTTTCAACTACGTTATTTACTCAAAGAAGTTATTAAACCAAGGGGTAGTGTTGTACTGTTAAGGTTTTTTCATTAAGGAATATTTTGCTATTAATAGCAGTCAAGTGATGACGTGGTGGTGACCAGTGCACTTCTTGGTTTCCGTCACTCTGTTGTCTTTATGCAATAGAAAATAAAAGTTAACGTTTAATCGGCGGCTTTGATAAATTATCAAACTTAATTTTCTTTAAAAAGTCTAAATTTCCCGAGAAATGATTTGAATGCTTCCTTAACATACCCTTGTTGTCAGAAATTTCGTCATGTGCATAGACACGTAGAAAAATCCAGCTAATGCACAAACTGGTCCGAGAGTGTAAATTACCATCAAAATATAGTCATTAGTGGAATGTATCTTGGACGAATGTGTTTCATATGGGGTATGCAAAGTAACAGGAGTCTCCTCTGTAGTCCTATCTTTTTCTTTTTTCTCTATATGTTTGTCAATTGGAGGACTTGTTGATTCCGTAAGTGTGAACAATAGACAAAAATATTTTCCATCGACTAATTTATTTGTCCAAATACATGTACGGTGTAATAATTTTACTCACTAAATCCAATATATTCTGTTGATATAGTTGAACAGTTTAGAATTTTCTTGCAGTTCTTTGGACATCCCACTGTTACATTGCAGAAATCTTTTCTACACTCGCAATTAAAGTTGCATTTGAATCCATATCCAGGATAAGGGCAGGGTGACGCACACTTCGGACCAATAAAGCCGTCTGGACATCCTTTAAAAAGAAATAAAAGGTTTTGAACCTAAATAACTCGAAAAAAGCTTTTCCAATCCTATTTCATATTTTTATGAAAAAATAATGATAATAGTGAATTCGATTCCAAGTAAAAAGAAATCTGTAAAATCTACAAACAAAAAAGCAATGTTCCCAAATTTCAAGTTGTTAAATACCAGAACTACAAATGTGGATTTCTTACTTTCAACTTTGTCTTGTTTTATTTTTGTTCGCATTTTGTTGAAAAAAATTGATAAGTGAAATGGAATTTATACTTAAAACAAAATATTGAACAGCATTTACTGAAAGAATCCTATTAGAATGTGTTTCCTATTTATTAAGCATAAAAATTTTATTTCTATTTTTCCGGTAATAGCATTCTTTTATAAAAATAAAAGATGTAATATTCATCAGTCTTTTGGGTTTTTATGTATTCATAAATACATATGTTACATGTAACGACTAGAATTTAAATCATATATATATATATATATATATATATATATATATATATATATATATATATATATATATATATATATATATATATATATATATATATATATATATATATATAAGCATCCCTAAATTTTTCGATTCAATATTAAAAAGTTTATTTCAAAGAAGATATTGCCAATGAAAGCGAGCTACCCTAGCAACATTTATTATATAAAGCTGCCTAGGGATAGAAATCATAATATTTTAAAATTGCACATCAATAATTTTTTTTTATATACATTTTCTCTTTACTTTAACAATCGCCTAAATATAACTGGAATATTGCCGGCTCGGCGTTTAACAAAAATAATAAATCTTTCCTATAACAAATTTATGTCATGAAACCGTGCTATTGCAATCTGTCCACGACATCTAATGAAAAGGAGCAAGTATGTAAATGAAATTTTTCAATGAAATATATTTTAGCGTAAATCGTTTCAACAGAAACCCTTTTTGATTTTCACCTACCAAGACCTGTATTTTTATGCCTCTGTAATCGAAGAATTGGGGGGTATAAAGTTTTTGCCCTGTCCGTCCGTCTGTCTGTTTATCTGTTTGTCGGCAAAAACTTTACTATTGCCCATAGCTTTGGATTAGTTTAAGCTATAGCTCTCATATTTTACTTGTGTATTCCTTTTGACAGGGCCTTTCTTTGGGTACCGACATATTTTACCTCTCGACCTTTGAGTTTGACCCAATTTTCAATGAATTTACCCAACTTTAACCTTGTCCATAACTTTTAAACAGTTGATGCTAGGGCTTTCATACTTCATTTATGTATTCATTGTGATATGACCTTTCCACGGATTAATTTTTTTTTTAGGTTTTGACCTTGACCTTTGAGTTTGACCCACTTTTCAAAAACTTTAACCTTGGACATAACTTTTAACAGTTAACAGTTAGTTCTAGGGCCTTCATATTTCACAGAAGTATTTAAAGTGACAAGGCCTTCCTTTGGATAACTACAATTTTGACTTTGACCTTGACGTTGGAGTTCGATCTACTTTAGAAAAACTTTAACATTAGCATTTTGAACAGTTTGTGCCACGGCTTTTATACTTCATAAATGTATTTCTTATGACAATGCTTCCCTTGGATACCTATAATTTGACCCTTTGACCTTGACCTTGGGGTTTGACCCACATTTTAAAAATTTTAATATTGGCCATAACTTCTTAATTGTAAGTGCTTGGGCTTTCGTATCTTCGTGGTAAAATTTTTATCCCTTGACCTTGGAGTTTGACTTGCATTTGAGAGACTTTAACCTTCACCAAAAACTGTCATATAGGGACATCAGTGTTCCACAAATATCTTGTTTTGATGAGGCATGTTTCTTCTGTTGAAAGAGACTGAAGAATATACATGTAATAAGAATATTATTACATATATAAAGCTGTAAAATAGTCTATGATTATATAAATACTGCATGTAGTTGAGGGTAACATTGAAAATTTTCACCCCTCGAAAACCATTGTCAACCTCGGCTGCGCCTCGGTTGACAATGGTTTTCGAGGGGTGAAAATTTTCAATGTTACCCTCAACTACATGCAGTATTTATTATATTATACTGAATGTTTTATACAAATACATATTACAGTGAACCTTGCGCGCATTCTGTGCAGTCAATATTTTTTGGAATAACACCCGTCGTCAAGCAGTTTTAAATGTTGCTACGCTGATGGACGTGGCTTCATTATTCAGCGGGTAATAGTGTTTTTTTAACAAATGTTTCTCGACGAATCAGATTCAACTAATTTACATGGGAAAGTATAATATAAAGAAATACTTAACGCCTCTATAATTTAATCGTTCAATATCATGACGTTTTATTGAATGCTCAGTTTACAATATATGAGTAGATAAGAGTATATTGCAATATAAATAATTGCTGGTACTCAGGAAAAGGTCTTGTTACTAGGATTCGATTACGGGGGCATGACAAAAGTTTGAAAAGTGTTGAAAATTTTAGCTTGATCGATACATTGGTAATTCTAATACAAAAGGCATTATATGATCACCCGGCGCTTTCGGTGTTGTTTTACGGCGTCTTATTACACATGTACGTTTTCGTTTGTTTCTTGACTGCCTCAATACACTTTTCTTTATGATATTCCCTGGAGGAATGTAAAGAATGAAACCTGTCCTGTTTGTACGATTTAAAAATGTCACGAACAGCTGAGTTCAATGCATGATATTGTGCATGGCTGAATAGATAAGGAAATATTCTCACTTGAGCATGCCAGCATAATTTGCTTGAGCAACGTCACTTAGAAACCTTGACTACAATCGGCATTAAATGTGCTTCTCTTCTCTCTCTTAATCATTTTCGGCGTTTAAAACAGGTACTCAGCATACATAACATTTCTATGTATCTATTTACACACACACACACACACACACACACAGCTACAGACTTGTAGAGGCACACAAAGGTTTCGAAATTTTACTTTTCAGCACTCCAGATAGGTGCAGTTAACATGTAAAACAGAACTTGGAAAACATTTAAAACAGATATTTATGATGCATTCTGGGCGTACAATATAATTTTAAGAGGGCTGGGTGGTCGTGACCATTTTTAGACTATACTGATCTTCTTTAGAAGAAGAGCTCCATATAAAGATATACAAAAATGATCAAATTGATTTTATTTATTCATTTTTTCTTTGCCAAATGATAGTTGATAGCTTAAGATATCATATCTAAAAAAAAATAAGGTTAATTTGTTGACCCCCCAGCCTCCTTAATGGGATATGGCATGGAATTGTTTACGAGATCAATTTATATAACGCTATCGTATTTCACAAAGAAGATCACAAATAATATTTTATTTCTTACATTAATAACCCAGTTTCAATTTGTGTTTCAAGTAAAAATTGTATTTTTTAGGTTCCAATATGGTAACACAACTAACAACGCATTTGCTAATGCGTTTCCTTAACTGACAAACCTAATGAAAATGACAATTAGTTTTTGATGACCGTATGAGTTCATCTGTTGGGCTGCTATCTTCTATAGAGAAAATCATACGGTGCAAAATCAGAATCACACCCCATTTCAGCCTGAGAGTTCAATATCAGTCCTTTCTGCTTCGGTCCTCAAGCTTACATTGGTCGAGCCTTGACAAGAGATGTGATACAAACTTTGTCATGTATTGTTGTTTTCATTATATTTTTAATAAATACATAAGGATTTTGAATCATTGAAGATGTGTTTCTGCATTTGTTTTTTTTCCCTTTATCAGTTTAAAGGTTTAATGGGCAATGAAAAATATTTTTTTTAAAGATATATACAATATTTTAAAAAATATTATAATGTAATAAACTTTTAATTCACCGATAAGAATAGATACGGGGTACTCAAAATGGAAAGCAAAATCATGGTATTCCGAAAAAGGGATCATGTCTACATTCATATCAGAGATGCAAAAATCCTGTATTCTATAAAACAAATATATCATAAGTCCTTCATTTTAAAGTTTGATAGGGAAGTGCACATTTCTTTCAGTACGGAGGGTGATTTCCGTTTCAAAGTTTATAGTGCTCATTGAACACATCACTGTGTTTTAACAATATATTTTCTGGTCTCTGTTTTTTAGTCGTCAATGTTTGCGAGGAAATTGCAATCTAAAATGCATCTGAATTGATATTGTGTCAATAATGGAGAAAACCAAGTGACAAAAAATTGTATAGACTAATAAGGATAGTAACTGTTGCAGATAGATAGAAATTTGAGCATTATAAAATGCTCAAAATTTCTTAATATTTTAGATATTTATTATTCACATCATTTACAACCAAAATAGATCCAGAAATATATACTAATCGAGGCATCCATTTCTTGTTTGTATCATCTGTCTTTCATAACATGCTCATTATACCCCCCCCCCCCCCGACATTCACAAAATATTTTCTTAAAACGGCACTGTGACGCACAAACAGGAAATTAAATAGAATTTTTGCATGACCCTGGTAAAGTTTTGCTTTTTGTGAATTTGTTTCGTGTTTTAAACCAGAGGCCATGAAATTCACAATTTTGAAAGAGGCACTATTGCTCATCATAACTATACAGTTAGCATGCTTACTTTGATTACGTAATACCTAGAGACAGAGCAGAGAAACAAAGAAAAAATGCATCTCCATTTATTTATATAATCAGTAGTGCCCCACCCCACAGGAACCCCTGGCCCTGGGGCCACACATTTAACAAATTTGGAAAAGAAACCCTTGCTTATCATAAATCTTTGATTCATACCAAAGAGCAGATTTCAAAGCATTAATTCACTCTTAGTATAAAATCATTAGAACCCCACCCCTACCCCACCCACCCCCCAAATAGTACCCTTGACCCAGGGGCCATTAAATTCACAATTTTGGAAATGCACCCTTCCTCATCATACATATAACTAGGTTCTTAGATCACCGGCATGCATGTAATACCCAGGAGCAGAGGAGAAGATTTTCAAAGAATTAATGCATTTTCACTATATTATCAATAGAGCCCCGCCCTAACACCAGAACCCCTGACCCAGGGGCCATGGAATTCACAATTTTAGAAGAGGCACCCTTCCTCATCATAAATATGTACAAAGTTCATCTACTTTATACCCAGGAGCAGATCTAGAGAAGATTTTTAAAGAAATACTGCATTTTCACTATATATTCAACAGAGCTTCTCCCTAGCACCTGAACACCTGACCATGGGGCCATGAATTTTAAAATTTTGGTAAAGGATTCAATGCTTATTACAATCATGCCAACAGTCTTACTGCTTGACGTCCAGGACTAAAGAAGATTTTTTAAGATTGCATTTATTTTGGTGGTTTTAGCCCCACCCCTCAGGCCGTAGGGGACAGGGCCCATGAATTTCATAATTTTGTTCCCCTTCACCCATAGATGCTATATGCCAAAAGTGGTTGAAATTGTTTGATTCGTCCCAGAGAAGAAGCTGAAAATGTTCAAATGTTAACGCACATCGCACGATTACGGAAAAAAAGGATAGCAACAGATCACCTGAACTACACAGGTGACCTAAAAATAATTTTGTATGGCCCAAGAAAAAAAAATAACTTTACATTTTTCTCCTTATTGTACGCGTGCGCAGAAAGAGTTGAAAAAAGTTACCTCGGTCTTAAGAATGTCGGTAGACCAAGAATTTTTATACAATGATCAAAAAAGATTATTAGAACATATATCTGATCTTTGTGTGCTCCAGTTGAAAGTTGTTTACAATTTTACGCTAAAAATAAAAGTGGCTCGACCTTGACATACACTATAACAACGAAATGATAGATACAACCTTTGTTTTTCCGGCACGCATATTGTGCAGTTTTTTCTTGCTTTACAGTGCAGTTTAATTGTCTTCGCTATATTCATAATTTTCATCAACGTTCGCTTTATGATACAGATATCTTAAAACATGTATTTTGCTTATAAGGTATAAGGAAAGCCACGGCATTCAAAACATCATAAGACGGACAGGAGGTCAAAAGGTTCGAGTATGCGTTTTGTTTTGAGGTCACAACGTTGAACACCGTGGATTTGCAACGTCATGAGCGAAAATCAAAATTCACGCTCACATTGAACAGAAGCTGTTGCAATGGCTCTTCCATTAATTGTAACTTACCCAAAGGATAATACCGGGATTTTAAAATATAAATCACATTTGTAGTAAAGGCAAGGAGTTAAAAGATGTAAATAAAAGCATTGAATTATTATTTTTGGAAAGATAGTCTCAAAAGTGCAACGGTGTGTGGAAACAGATTTTCATAAAGCGCTAACGGAACATTTTTATATAAGGCTCGGGAATAGCGTCCGGAATGTTTTTAAGTATATGCTTTCAACAAATGTAAGAATTTCAAAAATATTTACTTACTTGTGCAATTCTGGAGCTCTTTATCAAAATGATATCCATCACAACAACCCCTACAAATATCATGTACAAGTCTGTATTTTCTTTTGATTCCTTTTCTGTGCGGTAAAGGGTGCAGTAGAATATTAAAAGTATACATTTATTTACAAAGTATTACACTATATAGAATACGAAAGACTAATAAATGATGTAGAAATTTTTGGGGGGAAAAGAAAGATTAACTATTGAGAACTACTTTGTCTTGTTTAGCTACCCAGTTAATTAGTGATTTTTTTTTTAAATATCTCCTTCAAGAAAAATAATTTTCTTTGAGTTATTTTGATTCTCCTTCTAACCTCAATTAAAAATTGATGGCTAAAATACACAAATCATAAACTTAAAGAATCTTTGAATGAAAGACAAAGAACGAAAATGTACTGTATTAGAATTTGAAGGCGAAGGAATATATCACATTCTGTCCAAAGAAAAGAAAAACAAATAATGCAAAGTTTCAACATGGATGTGATGATAAATAGATATTAAAATAACTCTGTAAAATTAGTATCATTTAATATATGATAAGGATATTCCCGTTCTGCATACACATTCATCTTTAAAGGATTTTTATTACGTCTCAAAAATTTTTGATATGACAAAGTTTACATGATGTTACATGTATATTCATATATTTTAAGTTCTTTGCTAGAATATTGATATTTGTTATGTTCCAGCGATTCAAAGTTTAAATTTTTCAGTATGCATATTTTCATGGCCGATGTTCACCCCATTGCTCTGATGTCATAGGCGTCAATCCTCGTTAAGCGAAGTATATATTGTGTATACAAAACGGCACATTCGTTGCGTCTATTTAACTGTCAGAAAATGAATGTGATAATTGTTAATGACAGCTAGTAAAGTTTAATTTGTGGCTTTAGGATGCACAAATGTGCACAAGACAGGCTTTAGGAAGATTTTTTTCACATTTCCTGCAGTTGGTGGAGAGAAACATGTAAGCGAATGAATGGGGCCCTTTATCTGGAAACGCGAGGGTCTTGTCTCGATTCAAAACAATCGTTTACGCCCGTTCACGATTTTTGTCTGTAATATAAATTATTATAAGGAAATGGTACTTTTTTTAAAACGAAGAAATAAATCTATATGGTACTTATTTGTAACAATGTTGTGAACTTTGTTAACTTTGTTAAAATAATGAAAAGGGAGAATTTAAGATTCCCATACTTCTTAATATTTACGACGTCAAGCTTTAGGAATTAGCTCTATTTCGGCGAGTTGCCAACGGCTTCATAAAAGTATTCGGCGTCCTCTCCAAATGTCGGTATTTATTTGTTTTATTTCTCACTGTTAGACGTTCAAACAAGAAATATTGACCGTCCATATCCAAAAGAATATCGTCGAAATTTTTACCAATCGTATTGTCTATTTGATATATTTTTCTTAATAAAGGATGATGTGACATACGGCCCCCGGTAAATTGACAAAAAATTAAATATATAAATTTTACTCTAATTTTTGCATGCACTTAATCACAGACATGTTTATCCTCATAAAATACTACTTTTACCGAAAATAGAAACATAATTTGGAAGATAATTGTCTTTATTTTGAGTAGGGGTTCCATGTTTACATCCAATTCCCATTGAATTTTGGCCCTGCCCCACTCTTTGAAGCCCTTAAAATATACGAGCGCAAGTAGGTACATTTTTCTCCTTTGGCTGGTCACTGTATTTTATTAAAATCTACCTATATGTGAAAGGAGAAAAATGTACATAACTGCGCTCACATGTTGTTTTTAAAAAATCTAGCTGGCCTTTCCCATTATGACCAGATCGACGAAACCATTTTTTCGAGGCACTGGCGATACTTTCTAACTGACCAATCAGATAAATGAGTTGCATTACTAATGAGTACCATAAAAATACTAAGGACATTTTATGCTTGGAGAAAGGTTGTATTTTTTTTATCTGCTTTCCGATAAACAATTTTTTATGCATTTGAGTCACAAATTAGACACGGATCTACAATTTCCCAGCTCACATTTACAAACAATTGATTTATAAATATACATAGTTCAAAGTTTGTTAAGCGTTTGATTGGCAATTCGCTAGGTCTACACGTATTCCCGAGAATCAGTGAATAGAAGTTTGATGTGCATTTCTTGACCAAAAACGGTAAACACTGAGGTTCCATGCGTATTATTTTGTATAACTAGTCTTGGCTGACCATTAAAAGTTTGAAATGTAGTAGAGATATTGTGTAAATTGACCTAAACCTCGTGCCTGTGATAAAAAATAAACATGTAAACCAGCATGTTTTGTCGTTCTGTCATCGGATTGGACAGTTGTTCTCGGTAAGCGACTATGTGCGAAATAATAACAATAGCCATACAAGGTAGATTCCTCGGACATGCATATCCCCCTATTGTACTAAGACCCGCCTATTCTCTTTTCGTAAAAGAACATATTGTCACAAACCAGGCCGAATTTTGCTGTCATAGGGTCTAAAAATTCATAGATAATGCCGTATTCCTTATAATTAAAAATGTGTCGAAACTATTTAAACTTTTCAAAAGGCGTTGTATTTATTCACTCATGTTTGAAAACTATCAAAATCGTTGTAGATTAAATATAATTCGTCGTAGAAAAAGGGGCCCCAGATAGCAGTTATGTCACATCATCCTTTTTTTCAAGTTCTAGTTGACCATTGACACCTATAGCGTTTCAGCATTACATACGTGATCCTTATCTAATTAGTCCAGATTTTTATTCGAGGACCTTGTATTACGAGCGTTGTATATCGCCTAGTTTTCAGAAATTTATTCATAATTAAAATTTAATTACTAGTATATGGTTCAAGAATGTAATAGTGTTTCATTTTTAAGAAATTTAGATACATGATTTAAAACCTTTAACTACTTAACTTTATAATAATTATTTTAAATTCAAAGATAATATCGATAAGGTAACATAAACATTATACTTTGACATTTATAATGCATATCTTAAATACTTTGTAACGTACTTACATGTGGCCAACACATTCTCGTTTAGATTTAACAGGTTGATGCATAACTATAACAATAAAGATTGCAACATATTTCACGTTTAGAACCATAGCTAAAATATTAGTTGAACGATATGTAAGATAGCTAAAAATGTGCAAATTACAAATATTTCAAAGTGTAAAAATAATTTTAAGTGCTTTCAGAGGAAATGACACAATGTGATTATAAAAATTAAAGTGTTTGCAGATATTTCCTGGTATTGTGGTCGAGTCTGTGAAAATGAGTAATAAATACCCTTTAGAATTTCTGGTATGACCTGTATTAGTATCAATCTGATTATCTCATCATATGCTTTTTAAATAGACTTTTTAAATATTTTTTTTAGTCTTAGTGAATAAATTTAAGTACACAATTATATGCATGTAGTGTACATTTACAGTAAAAAATTACATGTATTTTACTTTTATCATTTTTTTTTAATTAAGCTTTATCACCACTAATATATTTAATTAGGCTGACAGGCAAAATTGTCTTAACAAAAACAGTTAATATTGTACATTTTCTTAGAAGTGGAAATACCTGTAAAAGGGATTGATATTGGACGAGTTCTCTGGATACATAAAATTTAGGAAATGTTATTTTTCCTATCAATTCACTGCACATGTAAGAGCTTTTCAAAAAGCTTGACTGGCTAAACCAGTAAATATATACCGGTATATATTGAACTAACGTATGAGCCAGAGATTGGGTAATGGTAATGTGTAATGGTAGTTGACAGTAATTAATTATAAATTTTGAAGTAATTGAAAGTAATGTGTAATTGGCAAAATTTTCAATTACAAGTAATTGTAATTCAATCAATTAGTTTGGTGAAAATGTATGTAATTCACAATTACTTTTCAATTACATAGAATGATGCAATCATTTCCCTCCCCCTCTCCAACTCACTATACACTATTCAAGAAAGTTTTAATTTTTTGGAAAAAATATTTTGGTGGTTAATATCTTACAGGAATATTCATATTTCCTCCTTTTAGTGAATTGCTGTTTTATCCCATGCATTTTATAAAGGAACCTTCAAAATATTCTCTCTGTGTTTAATATACGAATAAACTTAATAGTTTTTGACTAAGTTGTTTATGAATTTAAAATTATATTAGTTGAAATGCCTGTACCTGTGGCTTCTAATCCTTTGTTTGCCATGTCTGTTATCGTCTTGTGTTCGAGTTATTATCAGGTGCTAATTAGTGCCCTAAGGTCATGTACATGTACATATACTGGTATACTGACAATGAATTTTAATAAATATTTTAATCACTTCGAATTTGCATTTTTGGTCGTTCAACATACAATATGTCAAATACATGTACCAATATTTTGAGAAAGCTTATAATGATAAAAAGGAAACATCAAGGCAAAATATTTTTTGCATAAATACATAGCAGAAAACTTAAAATGACATCAAATTTTGTATTACATTTGAATTAGGGTAAAACATGGTATTCCTGCTGGACAATATCTATCTATTCCTGTCAGATATGCCCTGTTGGGAAAGTATCTTCATTGTGGAGGAAAAAACCTTTCAAATCTGATAAATGTAGGTTAACTGGGGATACTGTGTTTGAGAACTTAGCTGGAGACACTTTATTTGAGAAAATTTCATAAAAAAATATATATACACTTGTATAAATGAATTTAAAATGACTAAAAGGAACGTTCATGAATATTTATTTATTATACATGTACGTTCATAAAATGTAATTTGTAATTTAATTAATTACATTTGCAAAGTTATTGTAATTTAATCAATTACAATTGAAAATCCCTGTAATGGTAATGGTAATTTAATTGAAGATTTTGAGCAAGTAATTGTAATTTTATTAAATTACTTTTCTATGTGTATGACCCCATCCCTGGTATTAGCATGATAAGTAAAAAGCGTTTCGATCTATTTTTTTTTTTTTTTGGGGGGGGGGGGGATGGGTGAGGAAATATTGCATTACCGCATTGCATTTTGAAGATATTGTACAACATATAGAGGATATTCAATGTTTTGTGATTGGATATGGAATTTATTTCATTATTTAAAAAAATAAACCCGAAAAACAGTTTCTTAGCTGTTTTACAGTAGTCTTAAAAATCAAAAAGGCAAAAATGGTGATATTGACAATTTAAGTTATTTCCAAAGGGATTATTTAGATAACACCATATTCTGATATCTAGCATAAATACCTTGTAAAATACCTCAATTTTTTTTTTATTAGTAAACATGGTTTAAAGTAGCAATACATGTACATGTACTTCAATGACAAAATCTTCGGAAAACTTAAACATTATTGAGGAATGTATGACCTGACCTTAATTTACCTGCCTGCCGTTCGTGGCGTCAAACAATTAATTTTTATTTCATATGCTTCGTAAGTTAATATTTTTTTTCCTCAAATATGATAAAGTAGTCATGTAAAGATACAATAAGTCTCATCATTTCTATGTATTATACGAATTAAGACCTGAAACAGGCACGTAGCAGAGTTTTCAAAGGAGGTGAAAGGATATATAGTCGACAGAATAAGTGCCTGAAAAAAAAAGAAAAGAAAAAAACAAAACAAAACAAAAAAAAAAAACAAAAACAAAAACAAAAACAAAAAAAAACAAAACAAAACAAAAAAAAAAAACAAAAAAAAAACAAAACAAAACAAAACAAACAAAAAAAAAAAACAAAAACAAAAAAAAAAAAAAACAAACAAACAAACAAACAAAAGAAATGATCGATTTAAAAATTCTTTTGAAGGGGTTCGACGTCCAATCTTTCATCCAAAAAGGTTCGGAAAATCATGAAAAGTTATCAAAATAACAAAAAAAAAAAAAAAAAATATATATATATATATATTTTTCTGTTCATGTTTTCCGCAGCAGAATTTTTTTTTGCTACAATACATCAACCTACATGCAAACGGTAGATTGGGGATGGCATCATGTCGAAGCCTTCAAATGAAAGAATTGCTGAAAATACATCATTAGCCTGTCAGAGAAAAAAAAAATGCCGGGATAGAGTGGAGCAGGCTTGTACAAGATGTAAAGGGAAGGTTTATAAAAACTTCTCTCTTAAAAATGCGTTTTGCGAGACCCTTAAATCAAAGTGTTTTCTGTTTTGTTCTCAGTTCAAACGAAATTGGTAGCCCGAGTAGCGCAGTGGTTAGAGCGTCTGCTCTAGAGAGTTGATCCTTACGTCGCAAGTTCGAATCCCACTGTGGGACGTGGAGACCGGTCCTTCGGTTGAGGCCGTTTAAATTGAGGCCCTGTATCGCAGTGGGTGCTGGCACGAAAAAGTTCCTCACTGCTCAATGACCCTGAGAGCCAGCAAAGGTCAAAATGTGCAGCTCTCTACCGGCAAGTGGTGGCGTCTCCATATGAATAAAAAATCCTCGAGAGGAACGTTAAACAAAACACAAACAAATGAAATTGATTTTACAGCACAATTATTTAATTCCATCCATAAAACATACTTCCAACAAGTATGTTTTGGGAAATAAAAATAAACATGAACAGCAGACTAAAATTAGTGTGAAGTAATTAAAATGTACAACAGTGAGAGCTGTTCAAAAAGTCTATGTGATCTACTTTGTGGAGGTCCATTTGATAACCTAATGTTCGGGCAAGGTTTCCGTTATCTTTCATACACTTTCACCGACCAAATCTGAACAAAATGGAAACAGTCAGCTCTCTGTCTGCTTCAATTCGTTCATTTACACTTCTTCCAATGCTGTGTTGGATTATTTAGGAACCGTCTATATAAAGGATTTGATTTCCAAACGCCATTTTTTTTTCCATTTTGAGAACAATTTTCCTAAATACAGAAAGAGAGAGACAAATGCGATTACATATATTTATATGCATGCATGAGCAATTGTTTAATTTTTTCAAAAAATGCAATGTATATTTGACTGAATTTTTCTTGATAGATTTGACATTTCCTGAAAACGACAATCATATGTAAGGTATCAATTTGTTGTTTGTGTTTAACTCAAATATTTCCTTATCTGATTTCCATGGCCGTCATTAATGGTGTCTACATGATGAAGTCATTCTATTTTGATCAGTCTTTCCTGATTTTAAATGCAAACCAGGAAATTGAGAGCAGAAATCGGATCTGAATGTCACGAGTATAATTACATGTAAATCATTAAAAAACGATTGGGTTAGAAAAATGTTATCTTCTTTCCAAATTTTGTTTCTTTCGTCGTTGAATTCCTTAAACTGTCGTCAGAAAGATATCAACAAAAGAAACATCGATTTTTTGATGCAATTTCCCTTATAATTTCACCACTAACTTGTACATGTTGTGGAGAGCAAGAACCATTAAAACATCAAAAATGGCCCTATGTCCAACATGCAATAAATTTTCGGATATTTTATTTTAGAACATTTTTTTTCTTCTCAAATATACTTCTTTATTATACCTCTGTGAATTTTCTATATAAAATACGACGAATAAACCTGCTATTTTTTCTCTAAACATCCCCTACCGTGGAATAGTTTTTGTGCTTCTTGCCCATGGTGAAATAGTCATCAAACTATTCACCGACAGCATTCCCTTTCCTTCACTTTTTATGATGCATTTGGACAAAGAAACCCAGTAATATGATCTTGAATACCATACAAAATGTGTAAACTTCGATTTACTTACATGTCACTTTTTTCCCCTTTTTACGTAAAGTCAAACCTTGCACAGGTTCTTCCACGTATATTTCTAAAATAATGGTACATTAGATTTAAGGTAGATCGCGGGTTTAGTCCTTAAAAATTCTTACGAGAAAACATATCCTGAAAATTTGATATAATGTTCCTTACAATTTATAGCATTTTATCTGTAATTTTTATTAAATTTGTCTACGTAGTTTTAATGCTGTATTACTGTAAACGCGGTTTAGTTTTTAGTACTATTTTTACGCTTTACTATTGAAATATATAGAAAAATGACGTTTTTAAGCCAACTTTGCTGAAAGAGTTTTATGAAGTTATTTTCAGAGAATTATACGGGAAACAACGCAACGTTGCCTTTGTGACGTACCTGACGGCAGAATCAAATGCGCACAAAACAACCGCTCGAATCGTAGAAATTGTGTACCAATA